GTCGAACACCGGCGGTGGGAAGGGGAAAAACAGCGCCTTGGTGGACTGATGAATGTAAAAGACGTCAGTTTGACTACAGGACAGCCAAAAGGACATCTGGAGATATAGTAGTGACACGTAGGGCTTTTCGAGCCGCAGTGAAGAGAGCCAAACGTGAATACTGGACAAAGCAAGTCGAGGCAGCAGAGACAGAAGCAAAAGTGTTCAAACTTATGCAATGGGCCAAACCGAACCCGACGAAACAGCCTCCTCCTCTCCGGGTATCACCAAACGAGTGGCTTTCAGATCCACTAGAGCGGACAGTTGCGTTGCGAGATTCTCTTCTTGCAAGGTATAACGCGAGAAACGACATCGATACGTGGGAGAACAGTCAACCAGAGTTGATTCCATGGGATGGAGAGGTGTCACTGGAGGATGTCACAGCATCAACCATTGGCAGCAAAGAAACAGCTCCGGGGTTCGACAAGATTACCGTACGACTTCTCAAAGCCTGCTGGAGCACGATTGGAACATACGTCAGGGACCTCTTCCAGGCTTGTCTCAACTTGCAATATTTCCCTACGCCTTTCAAGGTGGCGGAAGTTGTGCTACTTCCAAAAATTGGACGCGACCTCTCCAGCTCAAAAGGATGGCGCCCCATATCGCTACTCTCCAGCTTAGGCAAAGGATTGGAAAGGCTCATAGCTAAAAGGATGTCCTGGCTTGCATTAAAACACAAGGCAGTACCTCCACAACTATTCGGCGCGCTACCGGGACGCTCAGCAGTCGACTTGGCATCATGTGTTATACACGATGCAGAAGCTGCAATAAGATCCAACAAAGTCACAGCTATGGTCACGCTGGACATACAAGGTGCCTTCGATGCAGTGCTACACAATCGGCTGCTCACACGAATGCGAAGTCAGGGCTGGCCAGTACTACTCTGTCGCCTGGTAGAATCATTTCTGAAACAACGAAAAGTTTTGGTGAGACACGAAAAAGGTGTAACTGATGAGAAGCTTGTTGAGTGCGGAGTTCCCCAAGGATCACCACTATCGCCACTTTTATTTATGTTATACATCTCAATCCTACTTGAAGATGGAACCCCAAACTGTATATTCGGATATGCAGATGACATTGCCATTGTTCGTATCGGTAAAAATCCTAGTGAGGCTGTTGAGGCTGCCCAGGTAGAAGTAGACAGGATAATCCAACGCGCTTCAACGCACATGATAAGGTTCGACCCTTCTAAGTCCGAGCTCCTGGTTATAGGAGGAGGACCGAAGAAGAAACTAGACTCATCCAACCTCGCGGTCAGGGTTGAGGGACAGCTTATTACGCCTTCCGCGTACATTCGATGGCTCGGGGTCTGGCTCGATTCCCAACTGACGTTTAGACAACATGTTCAAGAATGGTGTAATAAGGCACAACGACTATCTCACTTTATACGAAGTATTAATAGGGTCCAACGAGGTGCGGCTCCGGGACCATTAATCCGTGCAGTGAACGCATGTGTAGTCAGTACGGAAATTTATGGCGCTGAAGCTTGGTGGCCTGGACTCACCCGTATCACGACGGTACGAGATAAAAGAGTAAGTACGGGTGTCGGATGGCACCTCAAGTTACTAGATAGGACTATTTTGACTGCTGTTCGAGCCGCACTGCGAGTGTGGCGAACTACACCAAATATAGTTCTGCACCGTGAGTCAGGGATACTACCGGCAGAAATTATGCTACAGCAGCGACAGCTCCGAAATGCAGCCAGAATCCGCAGACTCGACAGCTATCACCCTTTGTCATCAAGGGCAGCTGAGACACCAAAGGAAGCAATTAAGCGACTCAAACTGAGAGAGGGGCAAAAAGATCGTGTCTTCAAGTTTCCAGAGCGATATCTGACACGCCTTCAGAATGGTAACCTCAACCTACCGGCATCAGAAGGGCCTGGATAGCTTTACCAACCGATGATCGCGAGGGCTATGGCTAGAGCCAAATGCGACAAGGAGGAAAAGTCGAAGCGGACTAATCATTGGCTTAGAAATCTCCCTGTAGGGTCGCTGTGTGTATATTCTGATGGGTCATCGACTGGTCCAGCATACTCAGCCTATGGCTATGCTATATACAGGGACAGAGAACTCATAGCGAGTGGTGGAAATTTTCTCCCAGGAGCAGAGGTCTTTGATGCAGAAATCGTCGGGGCAGTTCGAGGCCTAGAAGCGGCGTCGGAAATTGGAGGTAGTATAGGTATCAAGGTACTCCTCGACAATCAAGAGGCGGTAAGAGCCCTTGTGAGTGGTAGAACGAGCTCTTCACAGTCTGAGGTCCGGAATTTTATTGAACTATCCAAGGCTCAGCCTGCCGTAGAAGTCCACTGGGTTCCGGGACACAGTGGTGTTGAAGGGAACGATAAAGCCGACGCAATTGCAAAGGCAGCCCTTGCATCAAAAACCAGGGAAGGAAATATCCCGAGACCAGAGTGCACTCAGGAGGAATCTGACAAAGTCCTGACATTCGCAGCACTTAAACGCCAAGTCACAATACGAGTACAGAAACTCGCGGAAGATTGGAGGCATAAAAATAGATCGGACAGGTATGAAGATCTGGACTTACTGATGCGAAGAAAACGCCCTCCGGAGCTAGCTTTACCTCGATGGGCATATCACCGCCTCATTGCGGCAAGGACTGGGCATGGTGATTTCGCTAGCTATCACAGACGATTTCAACGTCCGAATGAAGAAATGCGATGCAAATGCGGACGAGAGAAACGGCCATGGCATGTTGCAGAGTGTCGCCCGACCATCCAGAAATGGAGGACGGAAACGAAGGAACCACGACCTACGACAAGGGATATGATAGGGCAAGAAGGATGGCAGATATTCTGGCGCTTTCTAACTGTAACAAAATGTTACAGCGAAATTGAATCATAAACAGGGAACTTGAATGTCAGCTGTATTGCTTCTTAGGGCCGCTCAGTGTGGCACGAGGATGGAGGTGTAGTGCAGGGCGCTAGCACCTCAGAAATGGTGTTTTTTCTTTTTATTTGTTTTGTTTCTATATTTCTGGCTCCTATGAACCAATCATGTAGGTAGCGAAGAGTCTTATATAGATCTGGACTACCCGTGCCATGCCCCCTGGGTGCTGGGTCAGTACCCGGTCACGATAAAAATATCATTATCATCATTATCATAACATAAAGTAGTTGGACTTTCTCCAAGTTGTCGTGGGAGACAAATTGGAAGATGGAGATGGCCAGGTTAGTGTGTATTAGAATGTGTATCCTCTCTCTCTTCACGATAAACACATCTTCCATGTGATATCAATTAGATAATATGAATACTTCTCATAGCAGACTTTCCCATTATTAGGTCATGAATTATTATGTCTACATCTTTCTATCAAATAACCGAAAGACTTGGTGATTGTTCATGTATTACCTTAGAATTGATGACTAATCATGTCGATGAGCTATGAGTAATCTGTTAAGGAATGGCGTTAGGAGAGAGGAATCACTACTGCATATACGCGTTTCTAAGAGAGAAATAGACAAGAATCAAATTACATGTTAACCACTAATTGTTATTACTGCTGTAGAAAGCTTGTGATACAAATACAATCTGAGTATCCAAGCACTTTCCGTTCATCCCATAATCTTACTAGGCCGCCTTCAGAAATTAACAAGCTACTGGGCTCGACGAGATAGAGCTCTAGCTCAAGTTTGTGAGAATTTTAACCGGCCTTTGCATCGCATGGATGCAGTTTGTAACTGTCTCGATCAGATGATGGGAAAACGCCAATTATTCGAAAGTCGAGAAGCCTTGGCTGAAAAAGATGTGATTCTCGAGCACCTTATCACAAGCGGGCGCTGAATTAAGTAGCGGATTCTTAGCGGCGCCATTTTCCTAGGGACGCACATTGTTCTACGTCAAGATGATGGCGACGCAAACTAAGTGACTCTGTAGCCACTATCGGCTTTCGAGCCGGACTTAAGTGCAAACTTATCGTAACGAACGGTCATCTTCTAACGCGGTGACTGTCACTGCATGCGTGAGTAAAATAGTAGATCAACCCGCTAACGGAAACGTCTATGCTAGAACGTGATAGAGTGATCTTATGGACTGAATATCTCTTGGGGAGGCCTTTCGCGGGCAAAATTTGTCGCTATACTTTAATGAATTGAGTATGATGGTTGGGTGGCGCTCCGGTAATTAGGGCAAGCTTGGTAATGTTGTATCAGACGGCAGCTACAGGTGCCACACAGTTATGGGCTCTGATGCAAACTCATACCATTCAATGTAGACGGCCCATGTGCAATGCTGTTCTCAATGCCTGCCATTTTAATCCTGTATAATATCTCTCTATTACATATCCTCCTAAACCGCATCGTAGTTATTCCTACAGTATTGTTATTTTAGGAAATCAGAACAACCTTGGTTTGTAATATTCAATCTTTCAGATGATGATCTTATTCGGTGACATATAGAGCTAGCATCAAAATATTCTTGAGATGGCAAGTAACCTAGACTATAAGAATAAAAGATACCGGGAACTACCTTGCTTTTAGCTCACCGCAGCGTTGAGGTTCATTACCACAGAAATGACATCACTCGAGAAACAAACTTGAACTATAGTTGAGACAGTATTTAGTGAGTGACATCTCAGGCTCTGTAAAGTCAGAGATTCGCCGAGATCAGCAAAATATGACTGACAGTTTTTTAAAATTATTTTCAAAGGTGATGCGTTTGAGAATTACTATCGGATTGAATATCATGTATATTAGTCTACCTTCTATCATAGACTCATTGAATCATACGGTTTTAAATTACCGGTTGGAATTTGGATTTACATCATATTCTACACTGCAATTCCTGCGCCAACCGAAAAAAGAGCGGGTATCATCAAAAGGCTTTCTGTTTCATAAGTAGGCATACAGGCGTCACTAATCAAGTCGTTAGGCTCTTGGCACTAACGGTTCAAGGTATAAACAAGAAATAATGGGTCATGTGTGGTGATCCCTGTAGACGTTTTCACTCGTCGAGTGCTTTACGGAGGTCGGTCCATCTACGAGTCAAAGTTTCGTGAGCAGCATTGATCTATTAAGGATTAGCAGACCCGAGAAAGGTAAAGGGGAATAGACATACCTCAGCATACTGCATTTTTGTCGCCACGAGGGTCTTTTCCATCTCACTCATATCTTCTTCTAATCTGTTATTCTCGTCATGTACCTCCTGATTTCGTTTGATCAATCGATCCATTTCAGACTGTAATCTTTCTTCAGTCTCACGTGGAAGCTTTTCAATTACATCCCGAAGTTCCTTGACTTGAACCTTCAGGGACTCATTTTCGTCTTTAAGCTCTTCATTTTCAACCTTGTGGTGAACTAGCTCTGTAGCTAGAGCCGCATGCTCGGTATCATGTTCTTGGACCCGCTTTTCTAATCGACGTACTTTGACGGAGAGTTTTTGATTACTCAGTCGCAGGGTTTCCATCTCGGTTTCTCGAGCTTTTTCAAGTCTAGTCTTTTCTTCCCACTCTAGCGCATAAATCTTGAGTGCTTCTGGTGTGATCTTAACAGCGCAGGCGTCTTGAATTAGTTGGTCTGCGCGATATATCTCTTTGTCAATACTGCTACCCGAGCTACCAAAAAATCCTGATTCAAGGATAGATACCGATGATGGAGCAGCATCTATATAAACGTCGAAGAGACGGTCCTTAAGAAAGTTTGTTAGCGCAACCATGTCAGAAATCTCTAGTAAGGCTTTCGCGTTTCTCTGCATTAAAACTATGCCGAATTTGAGAATAGCTTCCAGTCCTTCGCTCAGGATGAGATCATATATTCGGAGAACGAGTTGTAGAGGAAAGCGATAGGCAAATAGGGTTAAAAACCACTGAGTGGCGTAGAGATGTGGTGTAACTTGGCGACGCTGAAGATGGCAGAAGAGTGCGGGCTCAAAGTCCTCGAGGAAACGCTCAAACTGATACAGGTGCTTATGAAGTCCAGGCATATCCTGAATGAAAAGATCTCGTAGACGATACTGATTCATCAGCTTGACCAGAAGGCAAAAGGCCTCGTTTTCGGGCATCTAGGCCTCGTTAGTACATCCATTCTACATTCAATGTAAGTTCTTACGTTAAATAGCAGAGGCATAACGAGGAAGTTCATTCCTTGCGCATAACCGACACCTTCATCGAAGAGGGCATATGCTTTACATACACCAAATAAACCATCCTGCAAACCTGCACTAGTCGCAAATTTGGAAAAACTTGTACGAGCTCCTAGGTCACGTTTTATCATTTTCTCCAACTTTTTCACTGATTCCGCATCTTCTTTGGCCTTTTTTTTTCTCTCTGCTACCGCAGTGGCTTGAAGCTTACTAGTATTATCCGAGTCTTTTGGCGTCGTAGGGGACTTCAGTCCAGTAGCAATTGAGTTCGCTACTGAATGTTCCGAGCTAACCGATGATGATGAAGATGCTACTTGTTCATCCTTACCATTTAAAGAATTTGCTATACTGGCAAAACCACTAGATCCACTCATTCTATCTCTCTCTTTTTCCGTACCCCGTAAAACCAAGTCCTTGTACATGCTTTCAAGTTCTTCATTTCTACTTTGAGCTAGTATTTGCCAGACTACTCCCCTTATGGCATTAGGGATACCCGAAGTTATCGCTCGATTGAGCTCTTCAGGACTAGATCTTGCGACAGCTGTTGGCCCTTCGTCAACAACAGACTGCCATAGATCCCAATCGACCGGATGGGATGGACCCTCTGAAATTCCAGATGCCATGCCGGGGGGTAAGCTCGGCCCTGGACTGGTCGAAACTGGTGACTTTGAAGTCGGTGATTGTTTACTTTTGATGTTATTTGATCTTCCTTGATCCGTTTGGACGTTTTTGCTTTGTTCATTTGAGCTGCCTCCATTTTCGGCTAGCGATGTAATACCTACCTCCTCCTGAAGGCGCAGCATCTTGAAGCGGTCCTTCAGACTTCCTCTCCCTGGACGCCGCAGTGAATTTGAGCCATTTGGCTCTTCTCCTTCGTCTGTTTTACTTGAAGTCGTTTCAAAACTAGGCCTAGTAGCAGTTGATGAAGCCACTACGCTCTGACCTTGTTGGTTGCTCATTACTGATGTCGTACTAGCTTCTTTGGCAGTTGTTCTAGATAGCCAGGAAAAAGGACTCGTCAATTTTCTCGAGCTTGATGCCTGAGATGTTTGACTATTTGTAGCTCCTACTAGAGGAGTAGATGCCCATGGAACTGATGGTAAAATGTTTGGTAGCCCTTGATAGGGTAAAACCTTTGATATGGGTGGCTTGTAGTCCGCCGCTGATTCGGTCAGCTTTGGTTCTACCGTTGGATCAGTTGTTGACAAGCTGGCTGTTGAGTCTCTAGGAATTGTTTCTGCTCTTGCTGGGAGCTGCGATTGTCGTTTTGTATCTATTACTTCATCATCTTTTTTCAGAGAGCTATCATTGAGAGTGACTTCAGTATCTGGGCGAGAAGGGAAACTCTGTGATCTTGGCTGTGAAGAATTGGAGGAGTTATTGGGCGAGATTTCTTTAGATTGTGAGTTCTCTGCCAAAGTTTCCTTTGCCTGTGAAGAGTCGGTAGATGTCTGGGTAGAGGGGGGAGAACTGCCGACAGTTTGAGAATCTTCAGATGATGACTGCTGTTCGACTAAGTCTGGAGATGAATTTGTAGGCTCGTTCGAAGTTGAATCAGTGGTTGATGTGGAACTAGCATCTTTTTGGACATCCTATTTATACTGTTAGCTACACATATTAATGCGAAGGCCTTTGATTGCCTTGTGTTCGTGTAGTAGAAGAAACACATACTGCCTCTAGATTGCTGTCTTCAGTATCGAGATTTGTCTTTAAACTTTGCTGAGATGAACCGATCGCTTCCGCGTCTGTTTGAGAGTCTGGCATAGCTCGTGCGTTCTGATGTTCGTCCGATTGTATTTGAACTGTATACTAATCTATCAGGGAAGAGCCATGGATAGACAAACTCCTGCTAGACCAGAAAGAACTAGAGAATGCAATTAAAACGGGTGTTATACGGACTGGCAGACACGAGGTAGAAGACACGAGTGTGCCGTTTCAACAAAATCAGGAATTGGCGCGATAGGTGGATCGTGAACCGGCAACAGTTGGCATTCGTGGCGATGAATTTCCAGCGTGCGGACTCCTATTGCGCTACGTAAAAGCCTGAGGAGGAGAGCAGGACAGGCTGACGGGGCCAGGACGGGGGGGGCGCGAGACAATTAAACAGCAGCATAATAGATCAAATTATAATTCAAATGACCTTAACCGTCGACCTAGGGTCTTCGAGGGAAGGGAGTGGAGTGAATGAGTGAGGATGACGGGTTAATTATCCTCCCCTTAACTTCCTCTCCACGCATCAGTGCTGATGTACGCTAAATCCCAGGAGCCCAGTTTTGCTCATGAAAAGCCACAACGCCCAATACTTGAATCTGTACATCAATTCGAGCCTCGATCAGAAACGTTGAGCCTGCAAGGGCGCTACGATTTTCCGAAAAAAAAACAACAAACTACCCTCATGTTCAGGGTGTGATCTACACTAATCCGTCATGACAAGTAGTGGCGTACGATCGGCGACAGCCTGGCGCGGGTCCTGGGTAGTCTAAGATCACACGTAATAGTAAGGCCGGTTGGTATATCTCTGCTCCGCGCAATCCTTCGCGATGTGAAATATTCGACTGGGCACCCAGGACGCAAGGTTGAGCGATACTGGAATCGAGGGCACAAGGAAAGGAATAGGTTGTGAAGTAATTGAGGGAGTCTCTTAACTTTGATTGCTAGTTGCCGGGCCAACTACATATTTCCCCCAGCATTTGCCCCACCGTAGAAGCGCGTAAAAAAAGGAATTTGGTGCCGGGAAAGAGTAGAGGCTCACTAGCTCGGCAAAATAAAGTAGCACAGAGCCTACGAGAAGAGAATAAAGGAATCTCCAAGTGCTCGGAGGGCTCACAACAAAGTTGCCGTATAAAAATTGGCCTATCCGCGCGCGCTTGGGATATGAAACCCATTTTCTGCTTCATGCATTCCGCGCTTATTACGTATATTTCACAGATGCTATAGCTCGTACATGCCAGGCGAGTTTCCGCGTTCCTGCGGTAGCATGACATGAATGGGGCTAGGCTAGAGTATTGGAAGGTCTTGTCCTACCACTACAGCTGTGGTGGTATGGAATTTGTGTACTCCCTGTCTCGGGGGCTGCTGTAGTTTCTGAATTCAGATCGCTGGCTTGGAAGGGCCAGATCCACCTTCCTCACTCGCCAATTTTAACAATCATGCACGCGTCTAAATCCCGGCATACCCGAAGGCTGTTCGACCCAGGACCACTAGTGCTTCTCCACAAGTGCGCACTTCAATGTACAGAGTGCATTCGTAGAGCTGAATGGTATGGACACTAAGCCTGTCCCAATGTGCTTTCAGTTGTCCCTTTATCCTTGCCTTGACCCTGCTTTCGTGCCATCAGTACATGAGCCTCTACGGCCCTACCAGGAACAATACCATCTCTTGGTTCCCGTGACGAGAGATCCTTAAACTGCCATAGCCTGAACACTTGGTAGCAAAGAGTGTGCACGCACAGCCACAAGAGAACGTAAAAATCTACATCGCTCTAACATGGGGGAGTTGATCTTGTGAAAAATTTGATGCGTGTAGTAATTGCAGTGGGTTACCATGCGAAGGTAGATTTTGGGTCGGGATGAAAGGGCTGTCATAACGAAGATCCTCACCCACTAGCGGTTCGCAGCTAAATGACAGCCTTAATGATAATTTCCAGAGCGCTTGCAACTTGACGCACTATCCGTGGGGCGTCTAGATAGTGGGAAATTCGCTTTTCAGCTCCTTGCTCCACTTCGCAACAGACGTTTATGAAATGGAAATCAGTCCACGCCCTGGATCATGACCCTAGGAAAGTTTGAAAGACTATGAAAAGCAAGGTGCTCTGTAGTCTTGTCCCTTTTCAGTCGGCCATCCCTATTCATGTTTATCTTTGCATCAGGTTTAATAGCGTATGCAACTATCTAGCTATGACAAAATCTCAGAGAAATAGTACATAATAGATGACTCAATTTACAAGAAGAGCACTCATACCTCTGATTTCATTTGCAAGTACCACTGCGAAGTTATGGCGGCTTTTTCTTCACCCCAAGTCAGCCCTCATCTGTGAATACCCACCCGGGAAGACTTCTCAAAAACCCTGAGTTATCCAGATGTGCCTCCATCATCCACTGAATTTTCGCCGCGCGAAATTCAGTCTATTGTGTCTCCTTCCCAAGTGGAGTGGGTTCCCAGGCTACTCATACTAATAAGGGAAAACACCACGGCCATCCCTCCTTATTCATGGTGTAGTTGATCCCTTATCGAATATGCTGACATAGCCTGAGAAGAGATTATCCCTTCCGCCTCGCGACAATGGGTTAAAGCATTGGGTATCTAAGTGCACACAGTGTATTTTCTATTTTCCCATGTTTTCATGAATCATGACAATCCTCTGCCTATTACCCTGTATAAAATCCAAATTAATTTCCCGTCCGCATCTAGGATTATCTGCCACTTGGAAACAATCTCCAAATAGAGGCCGGGGGACCAGTGTTCCGAATAAATTACCTACCTCTTTTGTCTCTAAGATGGTTCATGATCAGTGCAGAAACTCTCCTAAGCCTCTGATAATATGCACATGATCAGGCACTGACGTAGTCTCTCTAACTATTTTTGAGCATCAATTATTCGATTGTCAATTACAAGTATATATCTGCAGGTTAAGGATGGCAAATATCATTGTAAAGAGTTTCTATCCAAGAGATTGTCCATATGAGTGAATCAGACCGGAGTGGAGCTTAAAGTTTTCCTACCAAATTTTACCATAAGCCGAAGCTCGTCCCTGATAGCGCCCGTGAACAAATCTGGTCGCAATGGGACGTCAGAGTAATATTGGTATTTAATTTCAAATACGCGTAGTTCTATGGTATGGCTTAATTTACTTGATTCTTGTTTAACGTCCTGTCTGGTATCTACTGCACAGATCCACGAAGTCGGTTAACCGTGTTATGAAGTGAAAAATTTTAAGCCATGAAACCCATGATTACCCCACGATTGTACATCTCAGCTTAAAGCCGAGGATGTAATTTTTTTCATTCAAATTCAGTATCATCGCAAACTTATCTCCTCCAACGCCGTAGTCCTTCTCAGGTGAAGTACGGAAGAATGTTTTCGCCATCTTTTTCTATCCTCCTTGTTGTTTGGGTGGTTGAGACTGCGGGCGTTAAAGATCTCAACGTGTTTAGTACGGCCGTTGAATCAACAATCACCTTACGTGGTCGCCATAGTCCCCTTTTTGGTTGGTTAATTTTTTTAGCTGGCAACTTGAGTGAATCCCTGATCGTCAATTGTTATTGGCGCCTTTGGTACCGCAGTTTTCGGGATAGCCCCTATCGAACCTCTACTGTTCACTCAGAGAGCTCAAAGAGGGCTCTCTAAATAGACCTCTTATAGTCCTAAAATTTCTGACATGAACGATGTTCCTTGCCGCAATTCGCGCAAGAAACTCTTTACCTTGGGTAGTCCCGAGTCTAATGAGCGCCAGTACACTCGCTACATTGGGCTGCCTTACCACACGATGCCTGGCTGTGTCCCCGTTGCCTACAATTGTGATATTGCCTTGGCTGGGATGTCGAGGACTATACCTGTGCCGAGTAGAGCATAGCGTTGAGGACGATGCAGTGTTGGACCACCTATTCTTGTAAGGCCTCTCTATGGGGAGGATCAGTATGACTGACCCTCTTTGACGGCCATTCTTCATGGAGCTCGAGCTCCTTTCCATCATACGTTCATCTTAATCTATTTATAGTTAGTCCTTGTGTTGGAAATTTTGTTGACACATCGATCTCCCTGATTAGAATTGAGTTGTTGGCTAATTTTCCTCCTGATATCTTCGTCCTCAACGAGACTCCGCAAACCTCCACCTGAAGATCTTGCCTTAGGGCCTGAAAGTCCTATATTTCCATCAAGTTGAGAGCCGTATCTCTTTGGCTCGCTAATTGAGCAAACGCTTCAGTGTTGTTAGTACGCATTTGGCGCCCTGCGTATGCTCTTGGTATATATTTCTGTGCCTTTTTGAGGAGCTCTACTGACTGCATATTTTCCGCTCCATCGACGCATATTCTAACCGCTATTTTCGCCATTGGCGGCTCAAAGATGGACGCGTTCTTTCGCGGGGCCAGCGGCCTTGAGACTGTTGTGGGTTCCGCCTATCGAACGGGATCCTTGAGGCTCTTCTTGCCTGCTTCCTCAAGTGCCAAAATTCTTTCTTCAATAGGAGATTTCACTGCCTGTATCTCCTCTCGTTCCCTGCTGCGTATGTTGAAGGCCCTTACGGCCTTCTCAATGACCTCCGTGGTGATGCCATTATCGTGTTTATCTCAATGGAGAATTCAAAGATTCTTCATTGGCTTCCGTAATATGTCCATGTTCCTATCGATAGGAGCTGCTTAAACTCCACTACCATGGTTTGTTTTGGCCATTGTCGCATTTCGCGACGCGTTGGGACGGCTGAAGTTGACCACACCGGCTCCCACATCCGCTTTGTTGTCGTACGCTGGATTTTCACATGCGGATGAGGTAAATTTAGGGTAAAAACGTGGATCTCGAAGTCATGTTGATAGGAGAGGCTGCGTGGAGTGCTGAGCAGCTTTTCACAAAAAATTATGTTTTCTTTAAGATATGGCTCACTTGAGAGATTACCTATAAGTACGTATAACTGAATAGATTCTGTAGGCCCTCCTTATCTACAGAATGAAATTATCTATGATTCCGGAGGTATCACCTCCTTTGCCTAGTCTAGAGCACCCTCCCATAGGTACTGCTTTTCAAAGCCTCATTCAATGACAAGCGGGTGA